ATTATAAATGAAGACAATGCAGCATGTATTGCTGAAATGAGGTGAGGATGTATCAAAGGAGACAAAACCAAGCATATTTCACTGAAGTTCTTTTACACTCACGAACTCTAGCAAAATCGAGAGATTGATGTCAAACAAATACGCTTCAGTGATAATCTTGCAGATTTATTCAGTAAGGTCTTACCGACATCAACATTTGAAAAGTTAGTTTACAACATCGGTAAATCGATCGTTGCCCACATGGATTGTTTATTGTTAACATCAATCCTTGCTGGTGTGTGGATAGCAAGAATGTATGATCTCATTATTTTTGCTGCATCTGTAAATGCATCAGGCATATAGTTGGCAATATTTTGCAAATGTGTTATTCTTTACACTTCAATTTCAGATTGAGATGTCCGAGGATCTAAATGAGACATAGAATTTACTTTCCAAAAAAGTTTAGGCTTGACTTCAAGAAGCTTTACCTTTCCCCCTAGAAAGACCTCTATTTATAGTTTTTCATCAGTGGTCTGGTCTAAGAAGTAGCCCTCTAGTCATATGATAGGTGTCTTGACAAATCGCCCTGATTCAGCAATATGAGTGATAAGTGCTAACTGGGCGAATACGTGGAATTCAGCTTCATATGGTAGGGGTGGAAAAAACTGGTTAACCATAATTTGAACCGAACCGGATTCCGGTTTAGCTGAAAAACCAAACCGAAACCGGACGAATTTTTCACTCAAACCGGTTTGTAACCAAACCAAAAATTATGTTCGGTTAACCGATTAACCGGTTTTAAACCGATTTTTTCAAATCTCGATTCTATCTTTAAAACAAAGACTTGTTCAACGTTTTCCAACTTTCCATCTTTTGAACTTTCTTGTTTGATGTGATGCAACTCACAGTCTCACTCTGGTATACAGTCTTAACACAATGAACACAATTTGGCTCACTACCCGTTTTCCCCAGGTTCTTCATATATATTATACCATATTAAATCTCTGTTAGCTTTCTAACAATTAATTGAGTGAATATATTACTTTATTTGGATTCATAACTTAACAAGTTAAAATTCAACTGTATATGTTACAAATCTTAAAATTTAAATAAAAAATCTCATTGCCAAATTTCTTACAAACATATTTACAAACACTTGGCGTAGATACAAAGAAGTCAACAAAACCCAAATAAAACTGAAAACTATGAAAAACCCACAAAAGAAAACACAAGTCAAGAGCGAAAGGAGCTCACTGGAAGTATTCTCGTTAGAAAGACAGCAAGCGACGAAACGAGGATTCCTTTCAGTAGAATGAGAAATAACGGGAAAGTGAAGTGAATTTCGAACTGGTGCATGGCATTGAAGCAAAGGGCTATGAAATCGAAGGAGTTTTGGACAATCATTAATCAATTTCATAGCATAGTAGTAGTTGTTAACTTGTTATCTCCATGGATGTACGTGTTTACTTATCAGTTTGCAATCTACTTCACTATGTTGAAAGCTCATGAATAAAGTCACCTTGCTCAGTCATCGGCCTGCTTTGTGGTGCCTGGTGGTGTTGTCGATGACTCAGCAGCTTTAGTTTGGCTCTCATATCTGATCTCTCGATGTAAACAACTAATGGGTGATAAGGATATCAAACAGATCAAAGGCCTGGTGTGGAGGCGTTGTCGAAATCAGATGGGTGATGAGGATTTACTAAGGAGTTTAGTAAGGATTGAGATTTGAGAGGTGACAGTTAGTAATAATGTAATAGTCTAAATCTAATACAGATGGAAGATTTAGACATTTAGGGATTTTAGGTTTTAGGGCATTTTAAAGAAACCGGATCTGGGTAATCGAATTATTTGAGTAAGTAAACCGTAACTGATCCGAATAATCGGTTCACCATTTTTTCTGAACCGAAACCGAATCGGTTTTCTCAAAAAACCTAATTTTCGAATTTTTTTTGTCCACCACTATCATATGGTGAAGAAAGAATGCAGGTAAACTGTGCGCTATGCAGGGCACTAACTTTGTGAATACATTGATTAGCCCAATTTAGAATAAGTTTAAGAAGTTTTAATGACCTTGGACTGAGGTCCATGGTACATAGCTAAAACGGAGTAACTAATCCAATCCCTAAATGGGCCTTAGGATGAAGAAAAGCCCAGATTTGATTTAATTGGGCCAGAGCAGAAACCTTAAAATAATATGCATTGTTGGGTAGATTTAACACTATCCAATTCATAAAATATGGAGTGAGCAAGTGCAAAGTGTTGAATGACTTGAGACTTGTGCTTTTCTACATGTGGTCCCTTCAGCTTTACATTTGCCGGTTCAGTTTCAGGTCAGGGTTTTCATTAATGAAGAATTGGATTCTCTCATTCTCATTTTCAACTTTTTTTTTATGCCCGACAGGACTGATTATCTTAGGATACTCCCAATAAAACTACCTATCATCAATTCAATATGTGTGTCAATGTCATTAAGCGTCACCACAATTATTGGAACAATTTTCCCCTTTAAACCTTCATTACTCTAATTAATTAAGATTTTTAGTGTGCACATTTAATTTTGGTTTTATTTAGTTGTAAGTTCTCTCCTTCTTCAATGCTTTTATAGGATTCTACCTTTTATAGATATTGAGTCAAAGGCTACCCACATCAAACACCGTTTAATTTTAAGACATAATTGATTAATTAATTCAGAATATATATATATATATATTATGACTTTTTACAAAGTCTTATCATTTAATGATAAATCTACCGTTATCACTTATCATAATATATTACGATCAACAAATATTGTTGTTCCAATTTATTAATGTTTAAGCAGGAATTTTGAGAAGGTAATTCTTCAGATCCTTGATATTTGGGGTCATTCACTTAGGTCCCTTACAATAGAAAAGTAATATTGCGGTCCTTGTTAGTAACACAGTGAGAGGAATTTTTATGTAATGAGTAAGCTATTGGATCCACCCCTTCGATATTGAGGTCAATTCTTTCACCCCTTTCAACATTTTTATAGCAAAAGAAAAGATTGTATATAATTAATGTCTCTAATTTGTATTGCATTTTGAAATCTATAACTATTAGTCTCATTTGAAAACTTAAAAGTTTAAGAATGCTTGTAACGTGAGTGTGGATGTGTAAATGTTTTATAAGTTAAAAGTTTTGTTTAAAACAAAAAGACAACCTTACACAGTGTATTTTTGACTTGGCAAGGGTAAGTAAACTAATGAGGATTCTAATGTTAGTTTCCTATTTTACTGGATCTAAGTGATATAATAAAAAAAACTTACGGATCCAAAAAATATGAGTATTGAGAGGCGGTGTGGGACATAAAAACAGAGGAAGGATCTGACTGAGATGTACTTAAAATGGTTAGAAGACAAAAGACACTGGAAATAATCAAACGAGGTCATGGTATGGACCTACAGCAGGGGCCTAATTAGAAATATTTTATATTATAAAAGAGAGAAAAATAAAATAATATTATGAACGTAGGAAGAGCGTTCGGAAAGACTTTTAATTTATTCAAAATTTTTATTATAAAGAATTTATTTATAAAAATAAAAATTTCATAAATTTTTTATTTTTTAAACATAAATTAAAGAGTAAGTTTAATTTTTACATATAAAAAATCAAATTTTACTTTTTATTCTAATTTTATTTAATAAATTATAAATTTGTATGTATTTTATTATTAATTTTTTCTCATATTAAATATCTCTCATATATATTAAGTGTCAGTTATATTTAAATATAAATTTTATTTTTTATTTACGTTAAATATATTCATTAAAATAAAGAGATCTAAAGTACTTTAAAATAATAGGAGTAACAATTTTAATTAAAAATATAAAATATAGTTGAGATTAAATGCATCAGATGGTGTAACATTAATAAGAGAAAAAGAGAGGCATATAATATAATATTAATAAGTAGCTTACCGTAGTCAGACTCAATGCCTCTGCAAGTCAATGGCAAAATTTGAAACCTTTATCGACGATTTCTTTTTATTTCTCTCTCTCATAGTCAGGCCTATGGCCCCACCTTTTTTTGTCTGAAATTCCACAGACCGCCAATAGCATGTTACCAGTTGGTCTTTCACTCAACTCTTGACCATTTTCATTCCCCGCGCGTCTCATCACTTCCTCTTTAACTCCCTCTATCTATTTCTCTACGAAAAGAAAATGGAGTTATCTTTTTGTAAATATTTAAAAAGAAAATTTCTTGAATTACATTTTAAAAATACATTTCTATTTTAATATATAAATACATTTTTAAAATAAAAATTTATTAATTTACATATGCATTTAAATCTTTCTTGGACAAAAAATAATTAATTTATAAAATTAAAATGTTTCTAGAAATCTTTGGTAAAAAAATATAGAAATATAAGTCATATTATTTTATTAAGCCAATACTTGATATTATTTGTTCATTTATAATAATTTGATTAAGGAATACATGTTTTTTTAATGATTGGGGTGTTCAGATCAGCTTATATGTATTTCAACTAATTCTCCTGAACCCTAGAATTATCGATCGGATAAAAGTTTTAACGGTTATCCGTATTAGCAATCGAAAAGAGATTTGAACTTATGAATTCTTGAGTAATACACCTAATAGTCTTTATTGAACCACTCGATCACCCAGAAATAGTTGATTAAATAATACATTGTAACCATAAAAATGGTTTAAAGGAATTATGAAAATACATAATTTAAAATAATTTAATTTATGAAGTTTTAATTGTTTTGTAGAAATGCTTGGTAATACATTTAGAAATATAAGCCATATAAATATGAATCTTGTGTTTCACTTCAAACATTTCCCTTCAATGTAAGTTATATTTAAAAAAAGGAATTTGAAATGTTGATTAAATATTTTATAAAAAAAAAAAAAAAAAAAACTGTTTAAGGGGTAATATTGTTAGAAAAGAAAGTGAAGTGAGAGGAGGTTGACTGTGAATGTTGTGTTGAACACCCGGAAGTGAGTGCGTGGGGACAACACGACGAAAGCAACCCAAAGTCCCTTCCCCCCACCAAAACATTTGTTACCAAACCAAAAAGAAACTTAAACAAAAGTCTTAAACTTTCATCTTAATCTCATCATATCAAAGTCGTCTTCTTCTTCCTCACCACTTCTATCTGTATCTCTTTCTCACAAACTAACCACTTCCCATGGAAACCTCACCAAACCACCACCACCACTACCACCACCACCACCAAGACAACAACCTTAACCCATCTCTCCTTCCTTCACCCAAAAGCTACAGCCCTAACAGCAGCACCAGCAGCTCCACCACCAGCAGTAGCCCGCCCACCCCCAAACCCATCACCAGATCCGACTCCGCCAACCCTTACCCCACCACTTTTGTTCAAGCTGACACTACTTCCTTCAAACAAGTCGTTCAAATGCTTACCGGATCCTCCGATACCGCTAAGCTTGCTTCTAAACCCGCATCTCAACCCGACCCTAATTCCAACAAAACCCATAACATCCCTCCCATCAAGTCTATACCCAAAAAACAACAGCAATCTGGCTTCAAGCTTTACGAACGTAGAAATTCTCTCAAGAACCTTAAGATCAACCCTCTTAACCCAAACCCATTTATCACTTCCGGGTTTTCGCCCCGAAAACCCGAGATTCTCTCTCCTAGTATTCTTGATTTTCCTTCTCTAGTTCTTAGTCCGGTTACTCCGTTGATACCCGACCCCTTTGACCGATCCGGACCCGTTAATTATATTAACAAGAGTGGTTTGCATGCAGATAGTAGTAAGATGGACACAGAAGCCGAAGAGAAAGCTATTAAAGAAAAGGGGTTTTATTTGCACCCGTCACCGAGTACCACGCCAAGAGATGCGGAGCCGAGGTTGTTGCCGCTTTTCCCAGTGACTTCACCTAGGGTTTCAGGTTCTGCAGCTTCTAATTCTTGAATTATTATGAGGTTTTTTAATTTTTTCTTTTTGGTGTAAGATTTTTATGTATTGTTGGTAATGAGGGGAGAAGAAAAATAAATTTGTAATGTTGAATATTTGCAGAGAATGAGAAAAATCTTGCTCTAATTGTAAACTTTTATGTTTTGTTGCTCTCTATTGGTTTTTATCTTTGTTCATACATACGTATTTTTTCCTTGTTGAATATCCAATGCTCGTAAGATGATGATAATTTTTGTTTTGGGGGTTCGAAGAAAAGAAAATTGAATTAGCCTCTTGAAATACAGGGGCTCAAAGTAATAAATTAGTGATAGTTAAAATCAAGTGGAACTTATGGAAGGTTGATAAATCATAAATCTATAGTTAGAAAAAATTCTTCCATTTTGGGTTGAATTGAAAAGGGTATCCAATGGTTCTTATTTATTTATTTGTTGGAGAAGCAGTAACTTTAATGAATATATTTACTGTATATTGCAATGAATGGAAAGATGAATGATTGTGATCCAACTAAATTCAGTTTCATTACTTCAAGACATTAATAAACATTGTAAGAAGTGCAGGTACAGATGGAGAGAGAGAGATAGTAATGGGAAATGGGATAAGTTTTGTTTGTACCAAATGGCCAAAAGAAAATAAAAATAAAAGCAGCTAGCTTTGGGCAAGCTGTCAAAGATAGTGTAGATAAATGGGCAAGGAATCTTGACTCTTTTGTTTTGTTTTTTGCCTTTGTGAGTGAAAAAAGATGCCAAATTGAAGGAGTCATTCTATGAATGTATCTGCAACTTTCTCTCATCATGGACTCGGTGCCCACCAACCTTGCTCATCTGGGACGCTTGATCTACATTCATCAATCAATGCTGACGATAGAATTGAAATTCAACAGTGGAGATTTGATGGGTTGGGTCCCAGTCAATCTTGGGTTTAGCTTAATCAAGATTACTATCTTGATGATTGAAATGGTGTAGAGTTGCAGGGAAGGCGAGAAGAGGAGATTTTCTTTCTCTTTTATTTGGTTGAATTTGAGGTTTGAACACAATTAAATGCAGGACCCACTTGGATAATAAAGAACCGTGAAAAGAAAGAGAAAGAAATGGTCCCATCGCCCATGGTAGCCAGTTGAGTTTTATCTTTTCCAGATTGGGTGGATACTTATATAAATTTTTTTAAAAAAAAAAAAAAAAACAATCTTTCAGTTGGTGTAAAAGGTAATGAACCAAACGGGAGTTCTTTCTTTCTTTGAATCTAACACTTGAGACACTTCAAAGTTCAAACTTTTTGACTGAAAAGGAGACCCAACTGCAGTGAATGGAGACATGAGAGGAAGTGCAGGTGGGGGGACGGAGTGAGTGGGTCTTGTGATGATGAAATAAAAGAAAGTGAAATTAATTCAATTGGGAAAAGCCATAAAACATGGTGGCTACGCTACTGACCTCTTTATGTTTTGTCTTCTTTGTTTTTTGTTTTCTGTCGTGTGTATTTTACACTTTTTTTTCCCCTTTCATTCTTCCATGTGCACTGTTTCTATTTCCCAATCATCATCCTTTTACTCTTCTTCTTCTTCTTCCTTGTCAAAATATTTAATTCCGGAAATCCGTCTTTTTCACGTGCTGCTGTCCATCTAATGAAAACTACTTATCAACACTGTGTACGCCTAATGGCTGCTAAATTTTAGTCAAAGTTTGACAGTTGAATGTGGCTATGAAAATGAAGGTGCCTCGAAATTTCGAGGAAGTTGTTAATATGAGAAAACTGGAGACCAGAAATATCAAATATGTCGATAAGCATTACACGGTGGAGAATCCTCGGTTAAAAAAAAATTATTCCAACACTCAATAAAATGTTCCCACTACATAAAAGATAACAGGGATAGATACCTTTTTCGGATCGAATTGTAATTTAAAGAATCATAATAAAATAATATAATCTTTTATAATATTGTAGGAACTTGGAGACTGTTTTCTTTCAACAAAATAGTAATATGAAAGTGTTACGGTTATAATATCTTTTTATAAACTTTCTTTCACAATATCAACGTATCAGTTTATAAATAAGTCGAGACTTATAATAAGTAGACAAAATCTATTTGCGAACTAATCAATCACGAAAAAAGATTGTGAACTTAGCATTACTAGTAGCAATATAAATTTTGAGATTGATTAATGATAACTACACTCTACCCATTGCTTGCTTGACAATGGCTTTAATTTATGAAATCTAAGGGAAAGAAAAACCCAAAAAATTAAGATTGGGTAGAAGGCGGAAACCAGAGATTATTTAATTGAGCAAATCCTGTCCATTTAATTAATTTAATATCTAATTAGTCATTGTGGTTTGTTTTGAAATTATTTTATAATATACTGATGTTATGTTATACATTCATAATTATAGCTTCCTTGAGAAAAGTTTTCACACTGAAGCCAGCCGCAGAACAAGAAAAATACTTTTCGCCAATTTTTAATTAAATTAATCATCCCCTCGATACTCAGAATTCAGAAACCAATGAATGATGGTGGTGGGAAACAAGAAAGGGTTGGGTCAAGATGTAGACTAGTTATTCAATTTAATGTGATTCAAATACCTATCACTCATGTCTTGAAGTAGTTGAAGGTAGGATAAACTTTGAAACTTTGCAACACCTTGTTGAACATCATCATCCAATATGGTGGTTGACTGCTGACAGTAGCTTCAGATAGGTGGTGGTGGTTTTGTTACAAATTAAAATTTTAAATGGTCCAAGTGTTTTAACAAAATTTGAAATATAAAGGTTTAAAAAAAATAATTCAAATAATAATAATAATAATGTATTAATATTTTAAAAATAGGGCAATTTAGTAATCTATATAAAATACCCACCTATTTAACTCCCAACCAAACATATCAATATAACATACTCATCAATTTATTCCAACCTAATCAAACACATTTCCCTAAACATTCTCAGTAATCTTCAAGGTAATCCATCTTTCTATTAATATAACATTTTCAATAATATAACATTCCATGAATCAAACACACCTTATATTATATTAGAATATATTGATATAATAATAAGTGGTGTTATATAAGCTCCAATAATATAATTTTTTTTAAAAAATATTTTTCAAAATGTTAATTACCATAAGAGAATATATGCTTAAAAAACAATCAATTAAGTTTTAAATTATAACAATAAAAGTATTTGGTAAACAACTTTTAAAACTAATTAAGTTTGAAACTGATTATTAAATAAAGAATTTAAATAAAAATTTAATTTTTAAATATATAATTTAATTTTTTTATATAAATTATTTTTTTATGAAATAAATAAAATTGAACTAATAGCAGAGGAAATAGTGGATTGACAACAGATGATGGTTTCTACTCACCTCTGACAACGAGTGTGGCTCTTCATCGTCAATCCTAGCAAGACCTGCGGCAAAACGACATGTTGAAATCTAGGCTCCATTTGGTTCATTATTGGGTAATTTTTAGAATAATTTTTGAAAAAACTTAAATTTGGTAGATATTACGATGTAGAATTTTGAAAATTAACATAAATACCCCCTATATTTATTTATTTACTAAACACCCCTATAATAAAATATTCAAAATTAACAAAAACACCCCCAATCCACTCATAAATATAGACAGCTGGCCACCGCCGTCGGAGGGTGGCCAGAGTTGCCGTATCTGCGTATGACCGGCTCGATCTTGCTGGTCGTGCGCCGATATGGCCTTTTCCGGCCAGATCTACCGTGGATCTAGCCATTGACAGCCAGCTCTGGCCGCATTTGGTCGTCAACAATGGCCAAAGATACGGCCGTCGTTGATGGTCAATGACGACCATATCTTTGCCGTCATTGACGATTGTCTATTGCCAAAGATCTGGCCGTTGACAGCCAGATCTTTAGCCGTAGATCTGGCCGAAAAAGGCTAGATCAGCGCACTACCGGCCAGATTTAGCCGTAGTGGGCCATTACACCAGCTTCCGACAGTGGTGGCTGGAATCTGGTAAATTTGGGTTGCTGGGGTTTTTTTGTCAATTTTTAAAATTTGTTTTGGGGATTGTTTAATTAATTTAACAAATTTAGGGGGTTTAAAGGAAATTAAATAATTTAGAATTATATTTTGAAAATAGGTGAACCAAAGTTAACTTTTTTGGGAAAACTAGAATAGTTTTTCCAATATATGAACCAAACGAAGCCCTAGTTATTTCTTCGGACCGTAGCACTGTTGTCTATATCCAATTTTTTTTTCTTGAATATTAATTAATAATCTATTTAACATAAAATTTTATTACACTAATACAAAATTATTATACAATACTTAACAAAATATAAATTTAGAATTATAAAAATATTTCAAGAAATAAAATCTTTGCTTTGGTCATTATATACACCAACAAATTTAAAATTTAATTTACCAAGCACACAATCATAGATTTTAAAAATTGGTGACACTTACATTCTAAAAATTGAGGAGAAATGATTAAACTTAAAACTACATCAATCTCAAACTAACCTTTAGTGGTGGGATTTAAATAAGAATACTGTATGAAATTAGCAAACATTAACCATTGTTGCAATGCTTTGGCTTTACTACGGTTTTGAAAGGTTTGATAGAAATTGTCAATCAATTGAGAGTGAGGGTTCTTTCGAATTGGACAAAACATTCTTACATGTGCAAGAAGAAAGCAATAAAACTAAATAAGAAAAGATTATCAAATTAATTCAATATAGTAATCTGATTAAAGCAGAAAAAAGCTTCAAAATCTAATCTATATTTAAACTTACATATAATAATATATATTTCATCCACAAGGTATACACACAACACAGGAACGAGAACCAAATAATTAAAGTAAAACTGCAATTACAAAACTAGAAGACACAGTGAATTTTTCACCAATAGCGTAATATAAAATTAACACAACATACACCATACAAATGGAACCATCTTCATTCTAGTTCTCTTTTTTAAAGCTTCAATGGTGTTAAAGGCTTAGATTAGCTTAACTAGTTCTCCTGTAACACTGAGATATGACGTCGCAACTACGGGTGTAAGGATTAACGTAAGCTCCCTTCCGACAATTGTAATAAGAATGGCCACGATAGCCGCATGGAACCGCGTCGGGCCTAAGGCATGCATAACTGACGGACTCACTGTATTCAAACTGTCGACGCCGACTACTGGACTCCCTCA